CTGCGGATCACGTGTCGCGGGGTTGCAACGTGGACGAATTGAATATTTCGATGTGGTTTGGCGGTCCACAGTTCCTCCTAGAAGACTCCGCTTTGTGGCCAATTAACACTTACTTCCAGCTTTCCCCAGAAGACGAAGCATTAAAGAAGAAGAAAAATAGTTTCACACAGTTCTCTTCTCATCAAAAATTGCTTCGTATTGTCCCATACTTATTACGAATCCACGCTTAATCCGTTCTTGCATGAGTATTCGGATGTGTCGCTTTCATTCAAACTAATCCGAGTAGGAGGGCGCCCATTAAATGCACCTCTCCTATACGGTGCCAAATTTCCATTGTTACTTAATAAAAATTCGCACTTCGTTATCACTTATTTACGGTTCATGCACTTTTGAAATCAAAAGCGTTGGTTGCGCATCTTCAAAAACGCATAGGGCTGATAAATGCCAGAGAAGCATGCAGTAGAACCGTAATAAACTGTACACACTGCTTTCATTACAAGTTGAACCCAAATAATGGGAAATTTGCCAGTCGATAAACTACGAGCGCTGTGACCCTTTCTTATATGTGGCGTAGATTTTTGTGGTCCAAAAGTAAGCATGAAGAGAAGGGACGCTTAGTTGGTCACACTGAGACCGCGTATCGGAGAATTAGGGACGTGCACTTAGTCGAAAGACAGCGTGCGAGTAAATGTAAACGGAAGCATTTCGCGATTATATTGTTATTCTGAGATAAAGCAAATGATTGAGTATTACTGCCGTATATATCATTGTACTCACAATATTTTGTACCACTTAATGTATGTAGAGACATTAGTTTTATAATGGCACTACATTATTTTATGCGCCTGGACTAGCCACTGTTCTCAATTATAGCAATGAAATAGAGGGTTGATTTGCTATTACATCTTAACTAAAATTTCAGTAGTACTGTCATAGTGTTCAAGTTGGATAAACAAATGGTGATCAATGTTGTATAAGCCTATTTGATCGTGTATATCTATATTACACTGATTTTCTAGAAGAAAAGTCAGATGTTAGCGACCAGAAGATGTGAACAAACTCCCAACAAGGAGGCACGTTGCATGATAGAGCAAACTATCCAAATTGTACGTATGGGTTGCTTCAGATATTTGCAGGATAATGTGCACACAATACATTATCACATAGTACACTTACATATTATAGTATAGAGAAATATTTGCGACCGCTTGGCTTTCTTATGGGGTTATGGCAAGCAGAGGAGTAACAAAATCAAACCAGAAATTTGACTGAACTGAAGCTAGTCCTTGTTAATTACATATTGATGCAATCCGCGATTCAACCTTTCAGCCGCATTAATTTGCTAATTAGGTGTCGCATATGCGTGGCTAGCATGGAGGAATAATATGTATAAAATAAAATTAACCTTTATACAATACAACAAAATTGATAAAAAGAAACTTAATACGGTTAATTTGTAGCACGAT